TATAATTTAATTTAAGTTTAATAATAAAATAATTTATTTTTGGTTTAATATTATAAATTTTATAAAGATAATAATTAAGTATTTTGTTAGAATTTAATGATTAAACTAATTATATTTTAGATTTTTTATATTTAAATTGAAATGTTTATCCTGTGTTTGATTGTGGAGTTTTAAGAATTTTTAAGAGAATGCTTTATAAGATAGTATAAATATATATATATAGGTGAGTTATTATACAATATTTTACATTTGTATAACCAATACAACTCAATTTAAACTGATTTTTTAACTGTTTTAGGACCAAATGTCATGGTTTTACTCTATAAAATAAAACACTTTTATAAAAAACTATATTTCTTATAAGAAAATATAAGAACATTCATTGGTCAATTTATAGAGTAAAAATATGACATCTGGTCCTAAAATAGTTTAAAAAATCAGTCTAAACCGTCCTCTATTTATTAAAAACACCTCTTAATTGTCAAATCGATATACACTAAAAGACAAAATAATGGTCAAATACGAAGGCTAGATCGCCTTCGGTTGAAGATCCGGTGAGGTGGGGGGCGATCTCATATATCGAGGCAAATAGTGTTTGGTTTCCTAAAGTAGATACATGTGGATTCTACAAATTAATTTTATATTAGTTTTTTTGTACTTTTTGTCCTCTTTGGTCAACATACTTGATGATCGCCCCCATAGTCAAACCATGCCCCTCAAGAGTGATTCATGTGGTTAGTTTGATAAATCCCGTAAAAAATGACTATTTTGTTAATGCATCATGTATATTCTGATATTTTTGTGAAAATCCCATGTTATAAATCATTGCATATATTAATGTCTAGGCAAAAAAGTCATTATTTCTTAAATGTATGAAGTGTAATTGGAGATGTTGTAAAAGAACTTCCAACCTATATGTTTTATTGATAATTAAAAAAATACTAATAATTTTTTAAAAATAAGAAAATAATAATAAAATATTGTATTAAATTAGGATTAATCTAAGAATAGAGATTTCTTTTTACGTTTCTCACCACAACTTCTTTTATCCGAATCCAACATTATACATACACATATATATAGCGTGCTAATCTACATATTTACTTATGTATGT